GTGGAACCTCTGGATTCCAGAAAATGTTGAGTGTTTCCTCATCACCTTGTGACTTGACCCCAGTCTTCGCCAAAGGGAGTCTTCAGAATGCCTCAAGGGACAACACATTACAAGCCACGCCTCAGGAGCCTTTTTCACTATGCCTGAATGGTGTTTATATTTTTTGTGGATTCTATGAAACATCTAATAATCAGAAAACTCCACATTAAAAATTCAGGGTGGCTTTTCTTTCAAGAGCCAGAAGGTCCAGCAATACCATGTTGACGTCCTCGCTGGAACTGAGAAGTAGCTGCCCTGGGGCCAGGCCAACTCTGCGGTCCCGACCTCACTCTGGTGTCACTCATTTACTTTGCCTTACCTGCCTGCAAGCTTGCCAGTGCCCACCCACTTAGAACATGCCTGTGAGGTTCACCTCTTAGCAACAACAATAATAAAACAATGAGCAGTCATCTGGGCGCAGGTAATGGCTTATATGGGCTCTCAGATCTGTTTCCTTTTCTTTTCTTTCTCTTCTTCCTTTCCTTCTCTTCTCTTTTCTCTTCTCTTCTCTCTCTTCTTTTCAATTGCCAGAGGGCACCTGCACTTGCCAGAGACAGAGAGAGAGAAAGCACCTCCCCCACAGTGGGGCATGGTCATGCCACAATCCCTTCTCCTCCATTTCTCCATCCTGTTAGGATTTTCAGCATGTCACACCAGGTGTTTTCAAAACCACTGAGGCTGGGATTTGAACCACAGTCAGCCCTGTGGGATTTGGTTTCCTTAACACTAGGTGACAGGGCCAGCCCTCCTAGACCTTCGAGAACAACTTAAAACTCAGCAGTTCATAAAACCTGGAATGGAGGGTAAGATGGGAAAGAAGCCATCCCGAATGGGGAAAGGACTGATAGCAGATCCTTTTTTTTCTTTCCTTTCTAATATAAACAGGCACATTCGAGTAAAGACTGGTGAACATACTAACGGGCCTGCTCTAATGAGTAACTGAGAGTCGCTTCCCATCAGCCTGCTGTGGTTACAATGGAAATGAGGTAGGGCTGCAGATTTAGCAAATACATATGCAGGGTGCACGGAGACACTGAAGATAAGCAACAGATAATCTTTTAATATGAAGGGACTTCAAACAGTTTGTAGAAAATGGAATTAGGGTACAAGTTTATTTTAGTGCAAAAAGTTTTGAAATCCACACATAGTTTTTTCATCATACATATTTTCTATGAATTTTTGAGGACACGCCTCCCCCATTGTGTATGTCCCATGCAATATTTGGGATATCCTATACAAAGAACTTACCTGAAATACAAATGTCACTGGGCTTTCTGTGTGTTTCATCTGACAACCCTGAAAGATAGTCTTAGAATATTAAAAAAGAGTCTTTGGGGCCAGCAGGCAATGTGGTGGTTAAGCAGCTGGACCCCCACATGGTCGATCACAGTTCAAGTCCTGGACCTCGCGGCTTGAAAAACAGTGTGTGTGCATGTGTGTCCAAAATCCTAAGAGGAGAATGGTGGAGAAGAGATTGCAGTGTGGCCATCTCCCCTGGGAGGAGATTTCTCTCTTTCTATCTCCAGCAAGCACATGTAGCCATATGCCCTATAGCAAAAATCTCTCTCTCAAAAAAAAAAAAAAAAAAAAAAAGCCTTAAACATCTTTTCTTTTTTTTCCTTTTCTTTTTTTGAGAGATTTTTGCCGTAGGCCACATGCACTGGGGGTGGGGGAGAGCAGACAAAGTGAGAGGGAGTGAAAAATCACCCCCCAGGGGGATAGCCACGCTGCAATCCTTTCTCCTTTATTCTCCTGGGACTTTGGGGACACAGCGTGATTTTGAAGCCATTGGGTCCGGGATTTGAATCGCCATTAGCCATGTAGGAGTCCAGCAATGTAACTGCTATACCATCTGCCGGTCCCAAATACCACTTTTTAAAATACAATTTGTAGAAACACTTACTTTTGACCAGGCTCCTCAGAGCTGAGTGTGAGCTCTGGATGACAGACATATGGACACTAAGGGAGCCAGGACACAGGGTTGGAGTTGGTGACCCTCTGCAGCCCTTTCTGCTAACTCATTTTCTTTCCATTACAGCCACTGCAGCAGGCACCATGGCGGTGGACGTGGCAGAGTATCATCTGAGTGGTGAGTCCTCATGGCAAGTCCCTCCTTGGATCACACCAGCAGCAGACCTTCTGGGACTACCCGGGGTGGGAGGTATCAGGGGAACATGAATACTGGCTCTGCTTTACTGGCAAAGGTGGTCAGTAACTTGTGCAAGGTCACACAGCCTTGGCGATACCAAGCTTCATCCAGTCTGAGGTCTCCTTGTCTTTCCACTCCGTTGGCTCCTTCCTGCCAAAGTGACTTCATCCATTTGACTTGAGGGGATCCCCTTGTCCCACTGCTCCCTGAGAATGAGCCTGTGACATGAAATTCACTTACCTAGAGCTTTCCTGAAGCTTGCCAGGTAGCCAAGTGAGGAAACCCAGGAAGGTTAATGTTAGATTCAAGGAACATCAAACTCTGAGATCACCCAGGCCAGTAATGGCAATGTGGCCCCCACCTTTCCACCCTGTGCCCCAGGAGACACAGCTAAGCGCTCACAGACTCAAACTGGGGATGGCTGCAAGGCTTCAGGTATAATCAGCAGCCTCTTCAATTGATGACAGGCAATCTCAGGGTTGAAATTGATGCCCCTTCTTTTCTCCTGTGTTCCTCTCCCCATTTACAGAGGGCAAGGGGCAGTGAGTAGGTAACAGGGTCAGGATATGAACCCAGGTCTCCCAACTCCAAGGGCTCCCCATATTACCTCTCCTTCTCTAACACAGTCCCAAGCTAGCCCAGGGCTGAGCCGAAGGGTGGATCAGAGCCACCTTTCTCAACCCTCAGCCAGGAGTCCTCATTTTTACCTGTAGGTTCCCAGATCTTGGCTAATGTCCTAGGGCATTTGCCTTGGGCAAATGATGGAACACCTCTGAGCCTCTGCTTACTCATCTATAAACAGAGGACACTGAAGCCTGCCTCAAGGGCTGTTGGGAAGATTCAGTAAGCTGATGTATGTGATGCGCCCAACACAGTAGGGATCAATTCCAGGACCTTACATGCATCGTTTCCTTTGCCTGGAGTTCTTCCCTGCTTTTGCCTGGCTAAGCCCTTGGGTCTGGGGTGGAGGTTGGTCATAAGCATAGATTTGAAGCAAGACTGTCGACTGTCTGGTAGGGAATCTCTCCTGTGCTCCTCAGCTTCCTCATCTGTAAAATGGGGGTAATACTAGAACCTACCTCACAGGATTGCTCCATGGACTCTAGGGGTTAACACATGCGAAGTGCTGAGAACAGGGCCTGGCCAATAGTAAACAGTGTTTTATAAGAGGAGCTATTATTATTCCTCCACCACCTCCTGTTCATTTATGGTCTTATCTTAGACCTCACTTCCCTTGAGAATTCTTCCCATATTGCCCCAAGGCTGGCACTTGATTAAACCCATCAATATTTATTGATAAATATGAATTGTTACTTCATACCACCTGCCTAGGGTGTTTCCTTTTGTGTCTTCAGCCCTGTCCCTTTTCTGCCATCTGAAGCGTGGGTTTCATTCCTTTGGCCTTCTAGATGCTCCACACAGGGGAGCCTGGCACAGCTTTGACACCTCGCCGTGCTCATCACCCACTTAGACCTGTTCCTGCCCTCTGGCCAGCTCTTTGCTACCAACCAGTCCCACAGTGACCTGGCTGGGACAGGAGTGCATTTCACTCTCTAGTGCACCAGGTGTTTGCCCATCCCATCCTCTGTTCACCAGCTTCCAGAACATTCTGAGCCTTCTCAAGGCTGGGCTTGGGCCCCTCTGTGGAACTCTTCGTTGTGGTTCTCTTTACCTGGTAGATTACATCCCATCCACGATGGTAGAAGTCAGGAAAAGGGTTTACTCATGGCCCCTCCATCCGTGAAACCTGCTCTTTATGACTGTCCTTGGTCTGTCTAGCCCCTCTCCATATTGTGTGGTTTTCACACATCAAACTTGTGTAGTCATACCCTGTTGGGGATTGATTTTTTTTTTTTTCTCCCTTAATGCCGGAAGTGTTTCTCCACATTGCCATAATGCTATCTCGATGACCTCAATTGTCATTCTCAAAAGCCAGTCACATTTCCTAAGACAGCACCACTCCTGGTAGATTACATCCCATCCACGATGGTAGAAGTCAGGAAAAGGGTTTACTCATGGCCCCTCCATCCGTGAAACCTGCTCTTTATGACTGTCCTTGGTCTGTCTAGCCCCTCTCCATATTGTGTGGTTTTCACACATCAAACTTGTGTAGTCATACCCTGTTGGGGATTGATTTTTTTTTTTTCTCCCTTAATGCCGGAAGTGTTTCTCCACATTGCCATAATGCTATCTCGATGACCTCAATTGTCATTCTCAAAAGCCAGTCACATTTCCTAAGACAGCACCACTCCCACCACGCTCTGCACCTAGGTGGGACTTTAGGCTGCTTCCAGATTTCTGTGTTTATAAATATAGCCTCGGTGACTCATACCAGATAGAGAACTTGTTGGGATTTTCCCCTTAGAATAAATTTGCTAAGGTGGACCACTGGAAGGGAGATATTGGGCCATCATCTCTGTTTTCTGGATGAGGAAACCGAAGCCCAAGAGGTGGGGTGCACTGCCTGAGAGTCAAGAAGCCTGCCCCCAGTCTCTGCTAGTCCTCAGCTCCATGAGCTTGAGCAGAGAAACAGATGTGCCCTGAGCCTCTCTCTGCTGCAGTTTTTCTTGCCTAGGAAGCAGGAGTAGGGTCTCATAGGGCATTTGGTGCTGGCACGCATCAGTAGTGAAGGCCAACAGTGTTCCTCAGGAATGGTCATGTGGACTCTGGCTAAGGGCTCCCCCTACTGGAGGGGCCACCACACTGTGTGGCTCCTCCCCCAGTGAGGAACCACTCTCTTCCCGAGTGTCTCACTCTCTTCACCCTGTGCTCTACTCATTCTGGGGAATATTCCTCTTCTGTTCTTCCTGCCCTAAGCTCCCAACCCCTGTGCCTTGGCCTGGCACACTTCTCACTCCTCTTCATGTCTCAGCTTACATGCCTCTCTTCCAGGAAGCCTTCTTGCTGCTCCTGTCAGGATTCCTGGTACCTTGTTTTGGCTATTAATTTACCTACTCTCCCCCACCCCCTGAACTGTGATCTACTTAAGGACAGGGACTGGGGCTGGGGCTGACTGACCCAGCACTGGCTTCCCATGCCCACAGGGTGCTGGCACATAGCAGGTGCTCAGTGCATGTGTGATGATAAATCTCCATCCCTGGGACCAGCAGATGGCATAATGGTTACATCGCTGGACTCCCACGTAGTCGACTACAGTTCGAGTCCCAGACCTGGAGGCTTAAAACTCACGCCAGGTGCATATGTGTGTGTGCCCAAAATTCTGAGAGGAGAATGGAGAAGGGGTTGCAGAGTATTCATCCCCCCTGGGGGGTGATTTCTCACTTTCTGTCTCTCAGTCTCTCCAGTGAGCACACGCACCCTATAGCCAAAATCTCTCTTTAAAAAAATGAAAAATCTCCACCTCTGGGGACCAGCAGTTAGCGTAATGGCTATGTCACTGGACTCTCATGTAGTCAACCGTGGTTCAAGTCCCAGACCCGGTGGCTTAAACTCACACCGGGCGTGTGTGTATGGTTGTGTGCACAAGATCCTGAGAGGAGAATGAAGGAGAAGGGATTGCGGCGTGGCCATCCCCCTCTAGGGGGATGATTTCTCGCTTTCTGTCTCTCTGTCTCTCTCTGTCTTTCTGGTGAACGCACGCACCCTATAGCAAAAACCTCCCCCCCCCAAAAAAAAATCTTCAGCTCTGCATGTCCTCCTCTCTCCACCTTGCTGTTAGGGAACTGCTGTGGGTCAAGACCAGGTTGGACAGTGGTCACCCCTGCTTGCTCTGGAGTCTGGTAGTCAGTTAGAATCCCAGCATCACCCCTTACTGTCTCTGTGACCTTGGATGAGTTCTTTCATCTTTTTGTACCTCAGTTTCCCCATTTGAATTAGGTATAGAGGCAATCCTGAAAATAGTTCAGAGAACTGTGTTTGTCAACAGGGTGATTGGCTGTAAATGAACCGTGATCTCTCACTGGCTTCCTTTGTCTGACTAGGTTTCCTAGTCAAGGGAGACAGGATCTTTCAACATGTATGGTCCCACTACGTGCCAATCACTGTGCTATGACTCGCCAACACAGTCAAGGAGTAGTTAGTCACTATGTTTGGGGACAGCGAAGCTCAGATACAGAAAGTTACTTACTCGTCAGTGAAGAAAAAGCATTTAAACAGCTGGATTCACCTCCAACCCTGCATAGTCTGAAGCCACCTCTTAGTTCAGCTGCGTGTTTATTTGTTTTTGGTAAAAGATCTGTTGAGAAACAAAGTTCTCATATGACACAATTTACCTACCTAAACAGTACCATTTGGTGGGGCTTAGTCTATTGTACAGCCATTGGCACAATTTTTAGAATATTTTCTTTTTTAAAAAAGAATTATTTTACAGGAACCAGCAGTTAGCATAATGGCTATGTCGCTGGACTCCCACATAGTCGACCGCGGTTTGCGTCCCGGAGCCGGTGACTTAAAAACTCATGCCGGGCACGTGTGCGTGTGTGCCCAAGATCCTGAGAGGAGAATGGAGGAGAAGGAATTGTGGCGTGACCATCCCCCCTGGGGGGTGATTTCTTGCTTTCTGTCTCTATGTCTCTCTCTGTCTGTCTGGCGAGCGCATGCGCCCTATAGCGAAAACCTCTCAAAAAAAAAGAATTATTTTATTTAACATTATTTATTTGTTTGTTTGTTTTAATTTGATCAGAGAGGGACATAGCGCGCGTGTGCGAGAGAGAGAGAGAGAGAGAGAGAGAGAGAAAGTGAGAAAGCAAGCCGCCACGTCTGGGACTCGAACCTCAGTTGGCTATATGGGAGTCCAGCACCTTTAACCACCACACCACCTGCTCGCCCCTTTAGAATATTTTCTAGGGACAAGCAGTTGGCATAATGGCTCCTATGTAGTCACTGGACTCCTATGTAGTCGACTGCAATTCGAGTTCCGGACCCGGTGGCTTAAACTCACGCCGGGCACGTGTGCACGCATGCCCAAGATCCTGAGAGGAGAATGGAGGAGAAGGGATTATGGCATGGCCATCCTCCCTGGGGGGGTGATTTCTCACTTTCTGTCTCTGTCTCTCTCTGTCTTTCTGGCGAGAGCACATGCCCTATAGCAAAAACCTCTCCTCCAAAAAAGAGAATATTTTCTAATCAATTTTTAGAAAATTTTCTTTACCTCATAAAATAATTCATATTCCCCCAAACGTCTCCCACCCCTTGACATCACTAGTTTACTTTCTGTCACTGTAGATTTGCTTATTCTGGACATTTCCTATAAATAGAGTCATACACCTTGTAGCTGCTTTCACTTACCTTTTTTTCTTTTTTTTCCGTTTTAATTTTACTATAAAGCACATACACTTGCCCAGGGAGAGACAGAGAAAGTGAGAAAGCACTCCCCCAGAGGAGTGACCACTCTGCAACCCCTTCTTCTCCCTTTTCTTCTTGGGATTTTGAGCATGCATGCACACACACACCTGGCAAGTCGTTCAAGCTGCCAGGTCTGGGACTCAGACCACACAGTGAGCCATGCGAGATCCAGCTGTCTTAACCACCCCGGCTGGCCCCACTTAGCGTGTTTGTAAGGTTCACCCATGTGGTACTTCATTCCCCTTTGTTGCCAAATAACATTCCATTGTAAAGATGTGCTACATTTGGGGAACCAGCAGTTAGCGTAATGGCTATGTCGCTGGACTCCCACATAGTCGACCGCGGTTCGTGTCCCGGACCCGGTGGCTTAAAAACTCACGCCGGGCGCGTGTGCGTGCGTGCCCAAGATCCCGAGAGGAGAATGGAGGAGAAGGGATTGCGGCATGACCATCCCCCCTGGGGGGTGATTTCTCGCTTTCTGTCTCTATGTCTCTCTCTGTCTGTCTGGCGAGCGCACGCGCCCTACAGTGAAAATCTCTCAAAAAAAAAAATTTAAAAAAAGATGTGCTACATTTTATGTAGCACTTGATGAACATTGGATTGTTTTAGATGAGATCTGAGGCAAAAACAGAGTAAAAATGAAGTCATTTCTTTTTCTCCCCCAAATCTCCTTCTTCTTTCCCCAGACTCCACAAGGCTGCTCTGATTATGTGGAGGCAAAAGATCTTATGAAGTCTGTGAGATCAGAGAACTGAAGGGGCAAGAATAACCCTATCTGTTCCAAGCCTAGGGAGCAGCTAACCATGCTCACAGCTCTCCGTCTGCTCCAGTCAGGCGTCTCCCCCGGTAGAACTGTACGGTTTTGTAGAAAGGGGGGTGGAAGCAGAAATCACAGAATGTCTGTCTTGTTCAACTCTTAGCATAAAGGCTGGCACATAGTCAGCACTCCATAGATATTTCCTCAATGAATAAGTAAGTCTGTGCTGAATCAGCTCCCTGCTCCCTGCGTGGGTCTGTAACCACTAGGGGGCCCCTGGGCCCACTAATGAGAGGCTTCTCTTGTCTTGCAGTCATCAAGAGCCCCCCTGGCTGGGAGGTGGGTGTCTATGCTGCAGGAGCCCTGGCACTGCTGGGAATAGCAGCTGTGAGCCTGTGGAAGCTCTGGACATCTGGAAGCTTCCCCAGTCCCTCCCCATTCCCAAATTACGACTACAGGTACCTTCAGCAGAAGTATGGAGAGACCTACACAGAGGCCAGGCAGAAGGTGAGGCTTCTGTCCCCACAGAGCAGAGCTTACTGCATCTCTTGGACATCTGCTAAAGACTATGCATGTGGCCATGCGATGTTCCTATGTCCCTTGTTCTCACCCCTAGAGAGCACCCACCTGGAATGCCCAGCGACCTGGCACACGGGGACCGCCCAGTCGCAAAGGCAGCCTCAGCATCGAGGACACCTTTGAGAGCATCAGCGAGCTAGGGCCCCTGGAGCTGATGGGCCGGGAGCTAGACCTAGCCCCCTATGGGACTCTCCGGAAGTCCCAGTCGGCTGACTCCCTGAACTCCATCTCCTCTGTGAGCAACACCTTTGGGCAAGACTTCACACTGGGCCAGGTGGAGGTGAGCATGGACTATGACGGGGCCTCCCACACCCTGCACGTGGCCGTGCTGCAGGGCAAGGACCTCCTGGAGCGGGAAGAAGCCAGCTTCGAGTCCTGCTTCATGCGCGTCAGCCTCCTGCCCGACGAGCAGATCGTGGGCATTTCTCGGGTAAGTAGAGCTGGGGAAGGGGAGGGGTATGCCCTGGGCTCCCTAGAGTCCTCCTCAGGTCTGCTGGGCCAGGCAGGAGTCTAAGAGGCATGAGAGAGAGATCTGGATGCTGATCTCAGAGCCGAAGGTGTAGACCGTAGTGAGGACAAAAGTGGATTGGGGAAGCGCCTGAGGGCTGCCCTCGTGCGCAGTCTCAGCCCTGTGCCACATGACACAGAGGGTGGTAACTGTCCATTTTCATACTGCCCCTATGTCACCATGGTGTCCTGGTGGGAAAGGACTAACTGGAGGAGAACTTAAGAACAGGACTTGTGGGACCAGCAGATGGCATAATGGTTATGTCGCTGGACTTCCACGTGGTCGACCATGGCTTGAGTCCTGGACCTGGTGGCTTAAAATTCATGCCGGGTGCATGTGTGGGCATGCCCAAAATCCTGAGAGGAGAATGGAGAAGGTCCCACACCCTGCACGTGGCCGTGCTGCAGGGCAAGGACCTCCTGGAGCGGGAAGAAGCCAGCTTCGAGTCCTGCTTCATGCGCGTCAGCCTCCTGCCCGACGAGCAGATCGTGGGCATTTCTCGGGTAAGTAGAGCTGGGGAAGGGGAGGGGTATGCCCTGGGCTCCCTAGAGTCCTCCTCAGGTCTGCTGGGCCAGGCAGGAGTCTAAGAGGCATGAGAGAGAGATCTGGATGCTGATCTCAGAGCCGAAGGTGTAGACCGTAGTGAGGACAAAAGTGGATTGGGGAAGCGCCTGAGGGCTGCCCTCGTGCGCAGTCTCAGCCCTGTGCCACATGACACAGAGGGTGGTAACTGTCCATTTTCATACTGCCCCTATGTCACCATGGTGTCCTGGTGGGAAAGGACTAACTGGAGGAGAACTTAAGAACAGGACTTGTGGGACCAGCAGATGGCATAATGGTTATGTCGCTGGACTTCCACGTGGTCGACCATGGCTTGAGTCCTGGACCTGGTGGCTTAAAATTCATGCCGGGTGCATGTGTGGGCATGCCCAAAATCCTGAGAGGAGAATGGAGAAGGGTTTGCGGTGTGGCCATCCCCCCCTACAGGGTGATTTCTCACTTTCTGTCTCTTTGTCTCTCTCTGTCTCCAGTGAGCACACATGCCCTATAACAAAGCAGCAAAAATCTTTCTCCCTAAAAAAAAAAAAAGAACAGGACTGGTTAGAGAAGGGTAGGAAATGAGCAGAGCTCAGGGTAGAGTGGTTCCGTGTCTGGTAACAGGAGGGGCCATTCCACACAAGTCTGAAGGGATGGGGGGGGGAGGGTGAAGTAATGACCCAAGAGCAGAGAAGCATGTGGAGAGGGCTACCATGATAGGAACTGTGCCCTGTGAAAAAGGGACAGTCAGCCCACAGTAATACACAGAGAAAGACGTCAGGAAATAAGCCCCGACCTCCCGCTGACCTCGAGCTCCCTTCTGGTGACCCCTAGTCACTAATTCCTCCAGAAGCCAGGGGCCAAAGAAGCCTATAGAAGTCAACTCCTGGGGCTGAAAGCTGAGTAGGTAAGGACAGAGAAAAATCCTGAGGGGTGCCAGGGGGCACCCAACACCCTCTCTACACTTTCTGCTGTCCAAGAGGAAGCCAAGCCAATAGTAGACACACCCAGCTGCCCAGCAATGGGACCTGGGGGGCCAGTCAGATGCTGAGGTGTCCTCTGAGATGGGCAAGGTTGACATGTATGACCTCTGACCAGAGTGTGCGGACCAAGTGCCTTCTGAGCCTTTGGAGACCTAATTGGGTTTGCCGCTTTTAACACACAGAAAATGACTGGCAGGACTGGCTCATAGCCTAGTGGTTAAGAGAGCTGAGCCCCACATGGCTGACTACATGGTTTGAATCCCAGCCCCAGCAGCTTGAAAAATACACACAGGCGTGTGTGCTTGTGTGTGTGTGTGTGTGTCTCAAGTCCTAAAATGATGGTACAATGGAGGAGAAGGGACTACAGCATGACCACACCCCATTGGGGGTGCTTTCTCCTTCTCCCTCTCCCTCTCTGTTTCTCAATCTCTCTCTGGCTAGCACACATGCCCTCTGGCAATTAAAACAAAGAAGGAAAAAAGAAGAAGAAAGTTGGCTGACTCAGAGGTGGACACTCTCTCCTACGCCAGCCTACTCCCATTACCTTGGGAGGACCTAGGACTGACCACCAGCCTATATATGTAGGATACCAAGAAGGGGTGACCCAGCTTTCAAGAGGTAGTATACTGGGTGGTAGGAGCAGGACCCTGGAGCCTGACTGGCTGGGTTCAAGTCCCAGTCCTACCACTTTCTAGCAGTGTGACCTTGAGCAAATCATTTAAGCACTCTGTGACCCTGTTTCCCCACCTGTCATAATGGGTATCATAATGACTTAAGAAGGGATAGGTTAATACACATAAAGTCCTGAGCCCAGGCCTTGGTAAGTGCTCAGTGGTAGCCTCTCAGGACCACGGCAGGCTCCTGTCAAGCCTGCCCCACACTGCCTGTGGCCTGGGCTACCTGCAGAGTCAGGGTTCAAACAGCCCTCGAGGAGGGACGTTGGCAGTCATTAGTCATGACAAGTGCTTACAGCTGGGTTTATAGAGGCCAACACATTCATGATTCCCTCATGAACTCCCTGAGGCTGACAGGACAGACTTTAGGGCACCTCACAGATAAGGAAACAGGCTCAGGAAAGTGCTTTGCCCAAGATGACCCAGAAGTAAGTAGATTTAGGACTTGAACCCAGGGTTTGCAGGAAATCTAGGACTTGACACCAGGGTTCCCATCCTCTCCTACCCTTGTGTCCACAAAGTACAATGAGCAGAGAATGGTCCCTACGGGCAGGGGACAGCCAAGAACCTTATTTGACCAGAAGAAGGAGAGAAGAGCATGAAGAGCGTGAACGCTGAGGTCAGGAGATTAGGGAGTGGGTTTATCCACAGGGGCCAGAAGCCCTCGAAGAGTCTGGAGCAGGGGATTGTGACTCCCAGGGAGCACTTTCCCAGAGCACAGGCAGGGACAGAAGAGAGTGGTCCGGGGAAGCTGGAGGTGCTGGTGGATTTATTCCCAGGAAAGCAGGCTTCTTAGCATCAAAACCTGGCCAATCCCACCAAGTGGGTGGCTGCCCCCAGCTGGGCAGCCCTCATCATCAGGCAAGGTGCCAGGGATGAGAACTTCTCTCTTCAAATACCAACCAGTGACTAAGGCAGCCCCCAAGGAAGAGGGAGCAGTGCTTGCAAGTGTGCTTTCCCAGGGGCCTGCCCACAGCTTCCTGGGATGAGGCCAGTGGTGCCCACCCGGCAGGACTAAGCTTGGAGTCTTCCCAGTCTACCCTACCTAGTTCCACCCTTCCTTCCATCCCTCCCTCCATCCCTCCGCCCTCCAGCATTCATAATCCTGAGCTAGAATCTGCAGGGGACTAAGGCTCGATGGCTCTTTGCCCCACAATTACCCCATATCCACTGCATGCCTGCCCTGGGGTAGATTCTCCAGATGCAAGGAAAATGGAGACCAGCTCATCCAGAGCATGGCGAACGGTTTGTGGCCAGCCACTAAGAGCCATGGGCACTGAGAATGAGCATTAGTTGGAATTGAGTTGTGGAATCTAAACGCCAGGCCACTCGATTGGCCACCCCTGAGAAGAAGACAGGGGACTTTTAGACATTCAAGGCTGAGCCACCAAAGGAAGGATTGGGACTGAGGGGTGGGGACAGCAGAGCCAGGACTCTAGCACAGGTCTCTGAACTCCCTGCCCAGTGCTTTCTCCCTGAAGTGACCATACAGGCCCCTGGCTGCCACCTCTCCAGCTCTGGAGCTCCCTCCATGGCCTGTTCTCTCTGCAGATCCAGAGAAATGCCTACTCTATCTTCTTCGATGAAAAGTTCTCCATCCCCCTGGATCCCACAGCCTTGGAGGAGAAGAGTCTGCGGTTTTCTGTGTTTGGCATTGATGAAGATGAACGGAATGTCAGCACGGGGGTGGTGGAGCTGAAGCTTTCTGTGCTTGACCTCCCACTGCAGCCCTTCAGTGGCTGGCTCTACTTACAGGACCAGAACAAGGTAAGTCTGACCTGACGTGGTGAGCCTTTTCACCCTTGAAGAGAGCACACACATATGTATTTTGTATTTTGTTTATTTGTTTGTTTAAGAGAGAGATCTTTGCTATAGGGTGCATGTACTTGCTGGAGAGACAGAAAGTGAGAAATCACCCCCCAGGGAGGATGGTCATGCCACAGTCCCTTCTCCTCCATTCTCCTCTTGGGATCTTGGACATGCACACACATGTACCTGGCATGAGTTTTAAGCTACTGGGTCTGGGACTTGAACCATAGTTGACTAGATGGGAGTCCAGTGACATAACCATTATGCGATCTACTGGTCCTCCACACACATGTACTTTCAAGGGAGCATCATTAGGAGAGCAGAGGGGTCCTGAGCTGCTTTCATGGAAACTGCTTGCTGTAAGCAAGACAAAAACTTTTTTTTTTTTTTTGGAGAGGTTTTTGCTATAGGGTGTGTGCGCTCGCCAGACAGACAGACAGAGACAGAGAGACAGAAAGCGAGAAATCACCCCCCAGAGGGCATGGCCACACCGCAATCCCTTCTCCTCCTTTCTCCTCTCAGGATCTTGGGCACGCACGCACATGTGCCCGGCGTGAGTTTTAAGCCACCGGGTCCAGGATGCAAACTGCGGTAGACTATGTGGGAGTTCAGCAACATAGCCATTACGCTAACTGCTGGTCCCAAGACAAAAACATTTTGACATAACTACAATTTTATTTCACATTAACAAAACAGTGAAGACAACTTTCATTGTGAAGATCTAATTACAATAATAAATAAAATAATTTATACAAAAATAAAAAACATCTTGACCACTGTTTATAGCCTATCTATAGTGCCCTTAACCTTCAAATCTTCAGAGCTTCTGTTACAGAAGCATGCTCTGGCCCTAAAGTGGATTATTTCAGACAGAGGCCAAGCTGAAATTTACCTTTGTACGTGTAGGAGTACTCAGGGAACAGAATTGTTTTTTAAGCAAATGAGCTCTTTCCATTCCACTTGAATCTCTATGCACTATTATCATAGAAGTTTTTCTTAGTCTGGAATGAGGAGACAGAATTGCATTTGATTGCTACATTTGAGCAACCTCTGGCTCTCCTTCCAAGGTAGGCCCCACACCCTGAGAAAGGAGGTGCATTCTCCATGAAGTTGAGTTGTGGGGAGTGCAGATGTGTCCCTTTCTCATCTTGCCAGCCTGGTACCCTGGTAAATGGAGCCCCTTCTCTATAGAAGAGAAAGCTTCTGCCTTTCCCTAGCAGTCGAGGCCTTTCCCTGGACCCTCAAGTCCTGGAGGGACAAGCCTTCTGAGTCACCCACCTGTCCTGCAGGTCGCCGACGCTGTGGGGGAGATCCTGCTCTCCCTCAGCTACCTCCCTACGGCTGAGCGCCTAACCGTGGTTGTGGTGAAGGCCAAGAATCTCATCTGGACCAACGACAAGACCACAGCGGGTAATGCCTGCTGGCTGGCTGCCTAGCTCCCCCGTGTGGCCCAGTGGAAGTGACTGCGGGCATGGGGAGTTATCAGCACTGCAGGGCAGAGTGCCAGGGTCTCTCACAGCTGCAGCAAAGCCCAGGAGCCAGTCACAGTAGGAGATTAATCTGGCTGGGAGACATGAGAATCCTGGAGAATGGCAGGGAGCCCTGTGAAGGCAGAGTGATGGCAGGGGCAGGGAGTGGAGGGGACAGGGCAATGGGGGCAAGGAGATGGGAAAAGTGATGTGGGGGCCAGGGAAATGGTAGGGCAGAGTGACGTAGGGGGCCCACTAATGAGGGGCCAGGACAACGGTAGTGCAGTGATGTAGGGAGCAGGGCAATGGGGGTACAGAGGGATGGGGGCAGCGTGACGGGGGGCCAGGGCAATGAGAGGCAGAGTAATGGGGGTCTAAGAACAGGAGCAATACTCAGGGCTGGGAGCAATGGGCATGAACCAAGATGGGCACCTACTTCTCAGAACTGGGATTCACGCTAGAGATGTGAGCAGCGCCACAGAGGCAGAGCAGTGTTCCAGACTCTAAGCAGGAACCAGGGGGTAGGCTTCAGGCAGGACCTATTGCCCAGGTCTGTAAGGAGCCTCCAGCCCCTCCGAAAGCAGTGAGCAACGGAAGCAGCTGCTCTCTGAAGACAGAGGAGATCTGCAAGTCTGGAGGAACCCCGGGTCCAGGCAGGCGGAACAAGGACACCCGGTGGGTGACAGGTGATGGCCAGACGGCAGCTTGTTATTTCAGAGCTGCACGCCATTGAGTCAGGCTCT